CATTCTAAATCGTTAAAAATCACTTTTAATATGCAGGTTAAATAAATTTATAAATATCTTACTTAATGGATTTAAATTGCCAAAGAAACTGATTCTGGCTTCTAAATAATACCATTAACTGAGTTAACGTTGAAATATTATCTTCATTGCTGAGTGTACCTTAAAAATTCCAGATTTCTTTACGGTACATTGGATCTTTGGACGCATCCTTACCGTAAATTTTACCGTGATGAGGATAATTACGGTTGTGGCCATGGCTTTGTCGCGGGGGTTTAAATAAAGAAATGCTTAGTGCCAAATATTTTTATTAGTAACAAATAGGACACGGACAAACATAAATTTGAATAATTACAAGAAGGAGGAAAATGAAATTCCATTCTGTCTGAGCATCTACTGCCCGTTCAGATGGCGCTGTGGTTGCTTAGCGATGTGGTAGCTACTCGGTAAAATTCGTGATTTTTGCAGAAATATTTATTTATGTAAAATGGTTAGGTAATTTTACTTTCTTCACGAATTATCAGTATTTTTTTTCCGCATCACGTTCCGGTAAAAATTGATTTCACGATAATAAGTACCAGCACCTTAAATTCTGGTTCTTTTTCCCATAATTTGATCCAGATTTTTTCACAGTGTGTCTTTTAAATAATAGCAGTTGCACAATATAAATTTCGCGTTGAAGAAAAGTAATGATAGGGATAGCTAAGGGAAAACTTTTAAGCCGATTTCAAAGAAGCGACAATAGAAATAACCACACCCTTGTCCAAATATTTTAGAATTTCTTTCCCCTTTCTTAAATCATTGATTCTTGGAAATACCCACAGCGAAAGAAATAGCAGTCCCAGACCACTATCTATCAATTGTCTAAATTCAGGTTTAAAAAGAGTAGAGAAAATAGGAAGTGAGAGAAGTGCTCAATCTAACCAACGATCTAGATGCTAGTTTCAATTTTGAAGGAACTACTATAGTATGCATTACGAATGATTTCTTCCGGAATACTCAATAGGGGAACTTCCACGTTTTATATTATGCTTAGATATTTTACCGAATGAAAAGATCTAAACTTTTCTAACTTATTTATCAATATCTAAGTTTGTTAAATTCTCCTTTGTTTTAATATTTGATTATTTTTGTCCTGTTTAATTTTTATGACATGTAATTGAGTCTATAAATGTCATAATTTGCTTTATGAGACGATATTCAGCAGTATAGTTGAAGTTAGTGATGGCAATAATGCATACTTTGCTTCATAAAACGATATTCAATAGTGTAGTTGGGGATAATGATTACAATATTGCATAATTTGCTTTAAATTTGCATTGCAATACTAAATAATTTGCTTATTTTCGAACTAAATATGCCAAGTCTCCTTTGATAATTTGTTTGATATATTCTATGATTTCTCCGTTCATTACCTACCTTTTTATTACGACTATTTTACAGTCCTCTAATTTTATTTTTTTAAAAAGTAAAGTATTTGAAAACTCACTCTTCTGGGCAACCCTCAGGTAGATTAACTGTTACCTACAAACTCATCCAAATAAATAAAAAAAAAACTTTAAATTAAAATATTGATGCTTCGCTATATTCATCAAATCGGAGACTGTGAATTGTTTACCATTTTTCTAGTTAACGGTAATAAGCATCAAGATAACATCATACACAATATTACAAAACGACATTTGCATGGTACAGGAACATTTCTCAAATTATCTATGGCATTAAGACCTTTGTAATTAAAAGCTGTTGCATTTCGTAAATGAAAACCAATTAAAATATTTTAAGAGCTTTTGTGAATCCCATTTTTTTACAATATTACCAAAGATCAGCAAGATTATGCAAACCGATAAGGAAGTTCAATTCATAACTAAATGAGGTAAATCATACGAAAGTGGATTGTTATGTACGAGTAAAGAAAATATAATTTACATTTAGATTGAGTTTTTAGTTATCCAAGTAATATGATATATGGCTAATATCTTTCAAGTTCATACCTTACTTCTATCAGGTTTGTTTTTTTCACATTTTTATAACGTTTTTTCCTAATTTCAAAAGTATCTTTTACTAAGCATATTTTTCAAAAAATATTTAAATTATTGTTTACATCGCTATTTTTTGTATATGTTTAATTTATACTAGCACGTGATAATAGTTAGTTTCACGCATTTTATTTTCCATAAGGACCTAGGACGTTTTCCTTTTGTTTACTTATAAAACAATGATTTATTTATTTACGCTTTATTAAATCAATTCAAATACTATTAAAATTTGGGTATTTTTCTTTAACTACAGTGTTTATATGCTAAAGTGCTTTGTTATATTAATCACATCGGAGATTGTGAATTATTCACCATTTTTCGAGTTCAGTAATAAGCATCACGATAACATCATACACACATTATTACTGAACGCCATTTGCATGGTTCTGGAGCCTTTTCCCAAATTACCTATGGCAACACCTTTATAATTAAAAGCTGTTACATTTTGTAACTGAAAACCGATTAAAATATTTTAAGAGCTCTTGTGAATCACATTTTTTTCGAAAATTAAGAAAGATCAGCAAGACTTTGAATTTATGTAAATGAATAACGAAGTTCAATTCATAACTAAATGAGGCAAATGAGAAAGTGAATTGTTATATACGTGTAAACAAAAGATAATTTGCATTTAGATTGAATTTTTAGTTATCCCAGTACTATGATGTATGGCTATCCTTCAAGAAGTGCATAATTTACGTGAATATTGCTGTATTTATCAACTCGCATTTTATAATGGAATATTGTTTTGTAATTTGGAATTTATGTTGAATTTCTTTATTTTATCAGGTTTGTTTTTCTCATGTTTTCATAACTTTTTTCTTTTCGAAAAGTATGTTTTCTTATGCATATTTATAAAATATTTCAATTATTTTAAACATCGTTATTTTTTTTTGCGTTTGTTTAAATTATACTAATACGTGAAAATAGTTTCACATATCATTTTCACACATTTCAGAAAATAGTTATTCTGTAAATATATATGCGTTTCCTATAACTTGCTTGTAGAACTATAATTTATTTACGCAATATTAAATCAATTCAAATATTATTAAAATTTATGTATTTTTCAATTTATCGTAAAATATAGACTTTGTATTTAAGAAAAGGCAAGTTGCATTTATATAAGACAACGTAGAAAAAGCTATGTGGGATGATTCTTCTCAAAAATATAAAATTTTATCGATCATAAAAAGAGATAAATGTTTTTCTTTGAATTGTTTACTGAACTATATATATATATATATA